TTTACAAAAGTCACTTCCCCAAAGTAATATGTTATTTTTAGAAATCAAAGCCAATACTGAAGTTCCTTATTTTTTCTGAAAGCCAGTGTATCATGGAATGAAAACTTCCCAATGAGAGGATTTTAATTTGCTGTTGATTTGACGGGTGTGTGTTGCTTTTGCAGCTGTGGAAGTCTAAATTCCTAGAAATATTATTTCATCTAAAATCAAGTTATGTAATTGTCTATTGCTCCTTTATTTTCTTGAAAATTAGGAACAAGGTATAGGAGAGAACTTACAGAATACAGCTTTGGGTAAAGAAGACTTCCGTAACTTGAACTGCCTGGTTCCTGAATCAGTGTCAAATGAAGGGAGTTTATACTGCAAATAAAGAAATTTGAGCCTCCCTTCCCTCATCTCCCTCCCCCTAGTTTGCAGGCAGGAAGTCGTGGCATGCGATTCTGATTGTGACGTACAAATCTTGAATTGTTTTAATCCTCTGATTAGAGGACTTGTTAGGTCTGGGAAGGTTATTTAACGATTGACGGTTGACATTCTGTAAAGTTCTTAGCGTGTGCATGTCTAATAGTAAAGCACTTAGTTTGAATGTCAGCCCCAAGTAGTATCCACATTGCCTTTTTTGCTAGGTTTCCCGATGTCATAACCACTGCATAGAATTCAGCACTACTATCTAAGCTACTAACCTCTACACATCGCTTTACTCTTGGAGCCACATTTCTGATGGTCTCTCAATTGCAATAGTCCTGTCTCAAAAAGCAGCATGTATTCTGAAAGCCATTTGATTTTATTTTTAAACGACCCTTTTATGTTTCTCTTAGGAAGAAGTATGTGTTTCATGCTTGTTGTTTCTTCTATATACTTCTTTCTTTTCTCCCTTGCACTTGTTTTAATGTAGCCTTGTGTTTTAGGCCATCATTCTTCCATATAAATATGCTTCTTTCTTTCAAGTGAGACAACTAAGTAAATTGGAGACAAGATATCCATTGACACAAGCAAACATACATATATGTGTTATTGTAATAGCTTTTCGTGTGCCTATTGAAATATATTTGGCATTGTTTTCTTAAGCACAAAGTATTTTAAGGAATTCCTGTTTTTACTGTGAGTTGCTTCATATTTTTTCTTCATCATACTTTCTGGAGAGAATGTTAAGGATTGTGATCTGGTGACTCAGAAGAAGAGTGAATTGTTCACCTGGTTAAAAACCACTGAACCCATTGTCACAAGTTGATATTACACAATAGTATTTCCCAAATTATGCTGTTTTCCCTACGTGCAACAAAAAAAACCCCAACACACATTATTTGTAAAATTACTCTGGTAATACAAAATTCATTAGTTTTCATTTTATTGAGCCATGGAACTGAAGTGATTTTCTTCCCCAGCCACTGATTCAAAAGGCATGGAATCCAGTCTTGGATGTCCTGCTCACTGAAACATGTTTCCTCGTGTTTTAAATCATTGTCTTCATGTGGTGTAGGTTGTACTTCCCCTCTGGCTTTTCTGGTTCATCTGCTCTTTCCAGTAGCTTCAGCATTTGAGGCAGAGCTGCAAACAGATGTGTGATGATGGGCCAAGGACAGTGCTGGTATCCAGTGAGCCGCTCATGGTATTACAATGTCTACAGGAAGTAATGTACATTCACGTACAGTGGCCACTGTGACAGCATAAGCTACAGAATTGACTGTGAGTTTTGAGGAGTTTCCTACCTCACTTTTCCTAAATTAAGACGACTACAAAGCCAATGTAATGACCAAAACTGAGTTTCAAAATTTCCCTGCACACACGTTTTTTCCATAGGCACTTTTCCGTAGTTGCGCTTAGGAGGGGATACAGTCTGTGAATCTGTAGAGCACGTTTGGTTTCTAGACATCCTTTGTATAGTAACAACATGTGCTGAGAGGCTGGCAGGCTGTAAGACACTGTCAGTGCAATTTGTTCTGGCTCCCTCCCTTGCTGAATCTGGTGACATCACCCAGATAGATGTGCTTGCGAGAAAAACAGCAGAAGGAGTTGAATGTCCGCCAAAAATTTGCAGTATGAAACTGAGCTGGCTGCTTCCAGTCTTGTTTTCACGAATCTTTCATTGTGTGCTTGTGTTTTTCATTTGCCAGGATGTTCTTTGCTGAACAAACACAGCAGCAGCAAAATCTCTCCATACTTAGCATAACACAGTCTCACACAGAAGCTTTGGAGGCTCTCTCACAGGAGCTTTGGAAGAGTAGCCTGTTTTCCACATTCAAAGTTATTCCAATTAATAAATTCTAACCTGACTTTTCCTCTGGCTTACATCGGATACTTTGGTGCAGCTATGTGACAATTTGTAGAGGTGAAGTTGGATAGAAGCATGTACAAGGTGAATAGAAGCACAGTTAAGTGCAGTTTCGTTATATTAAATGACTTGCAAATACAGGAGAGGTATGGACATGAGCAAAAGAAAAGCATGTAAGTGAAAGTGCGTAAACTAGGAAAGTAATTTTGAGGCTCCTTATTAGTGAAGCAGGATCGCAGTGTGATGAAATACATCAGACACAGCTTATACTTGGTTGTACCTGGTTTGTCATGCCTGCAGCTTTTAGTGTCGTGTTGTTTATGTTATGATCAAATTCTAAAACATTTCGGTAAAATGATCCACTGCCCTGGATTGCACAATTGTTTCAAGTTTTCCCTCCAAGTTCAATGGGATAAAAATAATTCTTCCCTCACAGCAGTTAACAGTCAGTATTAGTGTGTACACGTAGCTGAGAGTGGTTGAAATCACAGTGAAACCATTGGAGTTCCTCAGTTGCAGTGTAACTGCCATGCAGAACTTGAGCTCTAATACCAGGATTTGAGCAAGGGAAATATGTTTTGCTTTTTACAGCCAAGTAAATGAAAGCAAAGACAAGTGAAGATTATTGTTGTCATAATTTGTTGATAAGGCAGAGGTGTCCTTGCTGGCCAGGAAAAAGAGCAAGTGTGCTTTGGGGTACTGCTGCCTGGAATAAACCCTTGCTCCAAAGGAAAACATAATTCCTTGGTTACCAGATTGCGTAACTCATGCTCTGACAGACTTTTGTCAGGGAGCATCTCTGAGACTGCCCTGTTGCCGATACTATGAAATATTGGCTTTGTAGAGCATTTCTTATTTAAAACAAAAAGCAAGGACTTGACTTCTGCTTGAAGTTCTGGATTTTTTTTTCTCTGAAAAGTGTTTTCCTGTACTAGTCTTTCTCACAGAAGGTGAAAGAGCAAATTAAAGTAGCAAAAAGTTGACATATTCTCTAGGCTATAGTAGTAAAACCTTCAGCTACGTGGCTTAGAAAGTAGCAGGTGTTTTGCGTATTTAAAAAAAAAAAGTAGGACTGCAACTAAGGAAGTTTTAATTCTGACAGCCACCCATTAATTGAATAAAGATATAAAAAAATACTGTTATAAATCTGGTATGGTAGTAATTTCCA